TGAGGTCACTGACACGGAGTGAATAGATAGAGCATCTATTCAACTATGAAGAAGCTTCGTCATGTGATGAGTAACATAAAATCAATTGGTACGATTGGTAAATAGAAATGTGGAAAAACAGTACTGGACCGTAAACAACAGAGATCTTGGATGACATTTAAGTCTCAAGGTTCTGCGACCAACATATTAAAACTGTGCCTCAAGAAATAAAAAGCCTATTTCTGCGATGAGCATCAAAAATCGGAAAGACTTTTCATAGTATGACTCACGGTGGTGGATGATAAACAATATGAAAATAACCCAAAAATGATGGTGACATTGGGCTCCTGAATGCAAAAAGGCAGCTCTGCATCCAAAAAGATCAACTCTTTCTCCTCTTCTGAGGGATCCAGCGAGCCACATCGCTGCCTCGTCCTCTGCAAACACCGCAGGAGAAACATCTCACACCCAGCCCGTATACCTCCCTCTCAAATAACTTCCCCTTAAAGCCCCTAAGAATTAATGGAGGTTAACGGATCCAAACAACTACAGCGAGCAGATTCCTCTTTAAGAGGCTTTTTAAATTGAGCTTTTAGCTGCTATTCAACGTGGGTTTGCAGCGTGATAGGATGGAATAACATTACTTTCAGCTAAATTAGACTCTTTTTTTTTAATAATGCAATTCCTTCATTGGAGTTTGATGCTGCCGTGGAGGATAAATGACCCGTAGCATGTGTGTGGGCATGCATCCGCCACCCAGAGTCCTTCTGCTGTTTTTATCACAGTGCTGAAAATAAAAAGGAAAATGCCAACAGTGTTGGCTGTAATTTACGAGCTGGACCGTGGGTGTCCAGGATGATGCAACAAGGCAGTTTTCCAGGGGGAGAAATATAGGATCACAGAGCGGTTGGTTGCAGGAAAGTCTTTTTTTCAAAGGAGGATGTTAACTTTACTGCCCAACGAGGACAAAAGTACATCGTTAAGCTGGAATCTGACTCAGTTACTTAACCGGCTGCCACTTGTCCTTCATTCTCAATCCAACAAAAACACTCTTTTCATTTGTGATGCTTCGCCGTTTGTGCATAACTTAAATTCTCATTATTTGCATCCGTCACCCAGATTTCTGCCCTGCTTTAAAACACAATTATCTTCTTAATTGTACTTCTTCCCCCTCCTGCTAACGACTACTTAACACTTGTGGTGACGTGTGAGGCGGCCTTACAGCTACCAGAGGAGCGGAGATGAATCCTCCAGATGAGGTGGAAGAAGAGGAACCTGAATCTTATTTTACTGCCACCGTGCAGCCGTTCATCTGCAGGCCATCCACTTGTGGCAGTCCAATTATTTCGGAGCAGCGTGTTCCATTTATCCCAACCTTCATTTTATTCCTGAGAGATCCCTAATTGGTTGCCGCATCTTTTCAATTCGCTGTCTTCAGGGGGAGACGAGTGGAGCCTTGAAACAGATTAATGGAGGCGGAGGGACGTTAAACCCTCGCGGGATTCGGGGCAGATGTTGGAGACCTGAGACGGCGAGGTGCTGGAGACGGCGAGGTGCACGGGACGTATGAGCGGTATAGGGGACGGAGAGCTGGTGACACATCGGCTTCGTGAGTCAGACTCCACCAGAAACCACAGGGTGGTCCACTGAGAAGTGCAAGAAAAAAAAAAAAAGGCATTGAGAGAAGCTTCGGTTGTCTTTTACCTTCATGAGGCCTGTGCATGGAGCGGTCATCATTAGAGAAACCTTAATAATGCCACATCAGTGATGTTTGAAAAAAGGGCCTGATGGATTATTCTGTGCATGAACTTTACACAGAATAAAATCAAGAAACCGGCTTTTTTTTTTTATCAAAACCCTGAATAAAAGACAAATGTTTTACTGTTTCCACCACAAACTGCAGCTGTAGGCAACACTTTAGACATATATGAGGACGTATGACACTTCTGTCAAAACGAGAGTGAATTAAGATAAATGATGTCACCCGTCTGTTGAGCTGCACGCAGGCAGTCGGTTTCTTTCTGTCTCTCAAGCCTGCAGGCGAATGTCGAGCCGCGTGTCGCAAAAGAAGGAAGAACCGCGTCGCTGTCAGTTAAATTAGAAGCTAACTCACTGTTAGCTTTACAATTCACTGAAGATCATTTGTGCACATTGACCTTTTGAATTGGAAAAAAACGCCCCCTCTTCAATTATCGATTATGATGAGCTTATTCCAGATAAGGCGCAAATTCAATTAAATACTAAATTATGAGTTTAGTTTGAGCATTTGTTTGGGGAGAAAAGGGTTCAGAGAAGCAGATTGAACACGCTTCAGGGTCTAACCGTAATAACATCTATTTTTAGGAACATTTTACTTTCTAACTAATTTAGAACAATTAGTATTTAAAAACTTTAAAAAGCAACAGGGGTCAGCAACCGTTTTAATAGGAAGTGCTGTTTTAATATTTTATCGTGGCGCCGCAGATCAAGTGCACAGCACAATAAACAAAAAACTCTCCCAAAATGAGGTCATTGTCATGAAGGCCTCCACCCAAACATCCACCTCTGAGATGAAACCATCCAACCAACCAAACCAAACCCAACCAATCCTGCACAGAAGGCAACAAGTTCCGACCAATTGGAGGCAGCGAGCGACGTGTCCTCGCCGATGGGAAGAAAACAATGAAACAACCTCAGATCACATTAAAGAACTGCTGATGGCAGTATTGGCGACTGAGAGGAAGCACTTCAACATTTAAAAAATGTGTGCGATTGGGTTAGAGTCCCCCACCCGCACAACAACATTATATAACGACGGGAGATGGTTCACTCAGATAGCGGAGGACTTACTGCCTGCGTTTAACGCAGCATTTAGCGGCTAATGAACACCCCGCAGCTGGTGGAGACCAAAATCAGAGCCAAAAGAGAGTGGATGTTCTAAATTGCACAAAGGGATTTTGCATAAAGTTTCTTCCTATTGTTCATTTTTCTGTGGCGGCCCAGAAGAGAAAGGCCTTTAACCGCCGGGCAGAGGAGGAGGCGAGTCATTACAGCAGAAACCTCTGTGGCTACCAGATAAGCCCTGCAGCGCGTAACTCCATTTCATATTACAAAGCCTCATTAATTAAAATACTTTTTGAGAAGAATAATGACTTGTAATGAATGGGGGCCCGGCTTTGCAAAATGGGAAACATAATAACCCGAGTGAAAGTAGCTGCAGATTTCAGCTGCGAAGAACCTCAGCGGATTGATTTGGCTGATTAAGTGTGTTCTGCAAGGCTGAGTCACGTTTTTGTACGAAGCTGCAGCCTTGTTGAGTTTGAGTAAACACAGAGCGGAGCCACATCGGCCGACAGTTTAAATGCGCTTACTCCCGCGTGGCCAGAGAGGAAGATGCTCACGCGTGTGCAGACACACTTCGCCTATCGATCACAGTTATCTCTAAAGGGTCCATGTAAGAGGCTACGAGACGGCAGATTTATTACGAGGCTCAGCGAGAGACTTCTGTACTCTGTCATTTGTTTTATCGCTGTGTCACACACGTAAAGGGGATGGATATTATTCCTCCTCCGAGGCAATCACCGCGTAGCATGTATCCAAGTTCGGCAGCGGTGGATAATCTCATTTTACAATATGTGCTGTGCGATGACAAAAATGTGTCCAATTCACACGTGTGTGTGGTGCAGGGAGATAAATCCTGTTTTTGGCGGATTAACCAACACTGGCAGATCTAATTTTGGTCCTTGTAATTGGTGTCTACGTTAAATTTAGTGTGAATGTGTGGAGTTGGAGTTTTATACAAATACAAAGAACTTAAACATGATATTAGAATAATTGTAAATATGTCCGTTTCTAAACAACTAAAAGTACTGGCTTCAAAATCAAGTGCAGAAAATAGTACAGAAGAATACAACATTCTAACATTAAGTATCTTACATTAAAGTACTGGTTCTGCAGAAGAAGGCCCCTGTGACTGGAATGCGTTATATTACATTATATTACATATTATATTGTCATTATTACATGATTACATTTCTGCCTTTGACTGTTTGGGGGGAGAGAAGATGGAAAACCTAACAATTTGTTTGAATTCCAAAATATACTGTACATGTGTTGACTGTTTGATAGCAGTGAAGATTATATTTCTAAATAATTTTGGCATCATAACACTCATCCTATAAATGAAAATTAGGCTACTCAGTGGTCAAGTAGGCCTGTGTTGAGATAATTGCCTCTCCTCTATCTATGTAATTAGCAGGTCTGTATTTAATGGAGGCGCAAAGGTTCAACAGGCCCATGTTTGGTGTGTTCATCATTAAAAGGTCCTCTTATGAGAGAGGTGAGTCAGTCAGATGTCTTTTTGACTTATAACTCATGGACCTCTGAAATGTGGGACCTCTTTGACAATGCATTGTGTTTTATTGAGTTTGCCACGTGACAATTTGGGCCAAATAGAATCATTGACAATAATAAAAAAAGTATCATGGTAAGAATTATAATACATTATCTCTAAAATGGAGCTAGAAATAAAGAGGTACAAAACGAAAAAACTACAATCACTTTAGTACAGTACTTACCTATATACCCTCAGTTCATTTCAACCAAGCTGAATACTCATTAACAAAAGTACAATCCAACATTCTAATAATTAACTTTTGGTTTTACGTTCTTCGCACTAAACGAGCCACTGCTGCCTCCCGGTGGACGCGGGCGGTACTGCGCCTCGTGGCCGCACCAGGAGAGGGGGAGTTGCAGATGTGGTGAGTGGCTTTTTTTCCTCATGTTTAATTACATTATTAATTAACTTAATTATTAGCCTGGGAATTCTTTCCATCAACACATATCCACTAGTTCGACAGGACTGCATATCCAAACTGACATCCGCTCAGCCATTAGCCAAGAGGAATAGCACGCATGTCTACACAATAAGTGATCTTCATTTCAGCAGGTTTATTACAGTCACTAATAAATAATAATATAACATATAAGTGTGATGTGCGCAGCCTCAGTCTGTCATCAAGACGCGGTTGCTGTAGCCGACACCGCCGATTCAGTTGTGGCCGTGAAGATGCGCGGGGCGCAGAACATTTGTCACACTTGCTGGAAACGCATGCGCGCAGAGGACAGAAACCAGTTCCAGTCAGGTCGCGACAGACGGATGTGATCAAGCCACAGAATCACCTGTAATCTGGCATTCATGGTGACACAGTGAGTAGACATTTCTTTTTGACTGCTGCAATCACAGCCGCTCTGTGTGTGTCTTTTTCGGGTAAAATAAGGCGGATGAATTTCGGGATCCAGTGAAGCATGAGCACATTTACGTGGATGTTCCCGCGAGCAGAAATAATGCTATTATTTGATCTATAATTCATGCATGTTGTGATCTGAAATGAACGAGAATGTTTGTAAGTAAATATCTGCAAACCTGCTGCTTTAGCCTCGGGAGAAAAACCCTGACGGTAAAAAAATATATATATCAGCTTTTCTGATCAAATAATGTCATTATGTTTCTATAAATGGCTGCAGGCTTCAGAGTGATTGCTTCGAATCGGCCATCATGCATGTATGCGCGTATGTGCTTGCGTGCGTGCGTGTATTCTCCCGATGATGCGACTGATTGATGCGATCCCACAGTAACGCCTTGTCGCTGTCATTAGGCTACTGCCCCCCCCCCCCCCCCCCCCCCCCCACGCACCGACAGAGATGATGGGGGGGGGGGGGGGGGGTCGTTTGTTGCTCAACACAATCCGTATTTGCTATTTGGTTGGACATGTCCAGCTATTTGCATGGCGATAGCTGCACCTAAACGCACCACGTGATAAAGTAAGCATCGCGGTTGCCTCGCACAGCTGACCCCGCGCGTCACGATGACGTAGTGGCCGTGCATTCCGCAAGACCAGTTCCCCTCCATGTTGTTCAACTCAGAGAGTGTAACCGCTGTAATTCAAACGGCGGGGCTCATCATCTTTTCTTTTTTTTTTGTATGGCCTCGTCCCATAAATCTCCTGTGACAATTGAAATAAACAACAACATTTTTAATAATTCACTCCCTGTGGTCCGCGTGTCTCCCCCTCGCAGTTCATGGGATCGGAGCGGGTGGAGATGCGCAAGAGACAGATGCAGGTTCATCAGGAAGCAGCTGCCAGTGTCCTCCAAGCGCGCCACAGAATGGGAAACACCCCCACCAACGCCTCCAACGCCTGCTGCTTCTGCTGGTGCTGCTGCTGTAGCTGCTCCTGGTAGTGATGCCCCCCCCCCCCCCCCCCAACACACACAAAAAAAAAAAAAACTTTTGCATCAAAAGTTCATTTCCTGTGAAAATGACATGCTGGGGTTTCAAAATGCATTAAAAAAATTCATGCTCCCTCCTTTTCCTTCGTCCCGGCTTCTCTCGGGGCACGTTTCTTGGGTTCAGTGTAGCAACAGAGAAATAATTGTTATGGCTTCATTTGAATGCCGACGTTTGCCTGATAGTGAATGAAAGATGAAGTACTTGAGACCCTCTGAATGTGACGTTACAGCCACAAACTGGACGGAGCCACCGGACGGAGGCCTCGGGGGCTTTTAATCGCTTTTGGAAGCGTCGTCCGTTGACTCGTGCTTCGTCTTGAAGGATCGGCCGACCCGTTTGGGTGCTGAACGCATTCCCTCTCTACATCTGTATCGCTTCCGTCCGACTGTTGCACAGCTACAGCGTCCCCAGGCGGGGCGGCTCGCGGTGGACTTACGCCCGGACCAATTAGGTCGACAGCCAGCTGCTACATCAGGTGTCGGGGAGCATTTTAATTACGCTCAGGTGATCCCCGAGGGGCGCTTTACCCTTTACGCAAACGTTCCCAGAAGACCAATCCGAATCTACTGTAGGAGTTGTGTCATCTCGCCCTGCAGGGCCTCGACTCTGATGAAATGGGCCAACAGAAACTCTCCGTAATGCTGTTTACATTAATGTGCCGTCGTTCCGGGTCCTTTTTTTCTTCATGATTTGGGCCCGGCTGTTCAACCGAAAGTCTTCTTGCTGGCGAACTCGCCGGGGACGACATCTGGAAAGCTCGCGCCAAGCGGTGTCGCGCTGGTCACGTGACTCGAGGGTGGTCGTCGTGCGCGTTGTCGTTGGGCCGTATTTGTTTTTCTAACCTTAAATCAAGTAGCTCTCTTCTTGGTTTAGAAAACGTATAAAAGTTGTGACTTTGCTAAGCGAAGATAAAGGTCCGCTGCTGGTGCCACATTTGAAAGACGTCCCCTGTTGATGGGGACATACTTTCTTTGACATGTTTGATTTAGAAGTCCAGCCGACTGCATTATCTTCAGTCAGAAAGGCGGACGTTAAACAGACTCGAGAGTTTATTTTAGACGCTCGGCTGCAGCATCAAATATGGATGACGGGCCTCGTTTCCCTTCCTTCCAGTTTGACTGTGAGGAGCGAGGACGAGACGATACAGAGGTCCACCCTCGAGCCCAGAACGGACGGAACCACCAGTTGCGAAGAAAGGTAACGGGCCCCGAAAGACCCAGCAACCCCTCCCGTTGTGCCGTTACTGAGAGGATCGAATCCCATGCCTTCCGCCATTCTTTTATTAATCTCTAAGCCCGAAGCCCACCCTGGAGGACGCGCGCTCCTGGACCGTGTCGTTTGAGCGGGTGATGAAGAGCGCAGCGGGCCGCGGCTGCTTCAGGCGGTTCCTGCGCACCGAGTTCAGCGAGGAGAACATGATGTTCTGGATGGCCTGCGAGGAGCTCAAAAAGGAGACCAACAAGACCGTGGTGGAGGAGAAAGTCCGTCAAATATACGAGGACTTCATCTCAATCCTTTCCCCCAAAGAGGTGAGCCGGGTGTCACGGCTGCGATGATTAGAGCTCGGATTATTTAAAAATCATCGTTGTTGTTGTTGTCTCCCCTCCCGCCCTGCAGGTCAGTCTGGACTCGCGCGTTCGAGAGGTGATCAACCGGAACATGCTGGAGCCGACCTCGCACACCTTCGAGGACGCGCAGCAGCAGATCTACACGCTGATGCAGAGGGACTCGTACCCCCGCTTCATAAACTCCTCCGCGTACACGGAGCTGATGGAGGGCCTGGAGGAGCCCCCACCCTGAGGCCTCCTGTTGGGAGTCCCGCCATTTAAAGACACACAGGACCAATGGACACTACATATAAGTGGTCTTTATCCAGCTGTTAACTGCTGTTTATTTACCCTCGATTAGCTTACCGAAATACTTGGAGCAAACAAGAACAGAAGAAGACATATCTATATTTTTATATAATCCCTAGCGCTGTACAATGTACTTTTCTACCTTGTTTAATGAGGGAGAGCATGCGTCTGTGAGCACTGCATTGGTATTTAGGTATTTGGGAGCCTTAATGCATATACAGTTCTCGTAGGTTTTATTTAACAGTAACTCAAGAAGAAGGAAAGTGCCTTGGAATGAGATCTTCTACACTAGCACCATGGGTCCAACACGACTTCCCCGTGTTGGTGCTTTCAGCTCTTCTCAAAGCTAAAAAAGGTTTTTACAAATCGACGAGCTGACGCCCACAAATAGATCTAGTCTGTGTATCAATACTGTGATGATAGTCTAATATATCTGATTCAAACAAAACCGAACACACGACTGTGACCACTGATATATTTGTGTATTAAAATAAATGTGTGAAATAGTTATTTGAATTCTCACAAATTTAATAAAGCACATTCGGATGTTGTTTTTGCTTCTGTGTGTTCAACACGTGGTACATTATATAATCAATCAATATATTTTAAGATTTGTAACTTCTGCAAATTACAGCTACAAAGAAAATGATGCATTCCATTTGAAATTGTTGATTCCTTTTTTGAGTCTGAACGAAAACTCACCTACACGTCTCGCAGTTGTTATTTTTTGCACAACAACAATCCAAACACGCTGAAATATCATATTTACAATAATTCAAAAGGTCCAGTATTCAGTGGCATCTAGAGGGGAGGTTGCAGATTGCAACTGAAACTTGTAAAACTAATGAAACAAATACCTATTTCGGAAGCTGGAAGCCAAAAATGTTAAGTTATTTTTGCTCTAATAAAAAGCCTTAAATAAATTAGTTGATTTATCAACAAATAACTTGTATTAGCATTATTGCATTTTGGCTACATAAATAACAAAGGGCATTAAACCACAGGCCATTTATTATGAGATAGTAGAGGTATTAAACTGTGAAGTATAGCCCTAGTTAAATATGTTCCTTGCAAGAAATGGCTCGTCTTAACGGTAGCTTTACGATCAAGCGCCTACTGTTACTCTAACACTGAGGGTTGTGCGCGGCTCCAGGTCCGGATACAATACGGTTTATCATCATCCTCCTCCAGGTTCAAAATGAAGCCCCAGTCCTGTCCGGCGTAATGGATAGCAGCGTGGATACATTGTCAGTCGGCCGTTGGTTCCTCGAGTCCACAGAGCGTCGCCGGGGTCGAGCCTCAAAGGGCGGCGGGCGGCTCGGCTGCTCTGCTGCTGCCCGAGTTCATTCGTTGCTGATGGGAGGAAGATGCTTCTCTATGAACCGTTTCACATCCACCATTTCCTGCCCGGGTACAGAACAAAAAACAAAAAAAACAAAATGAGTCACGTGACGGAGGACGGGGGACTCGAGCTGCAGAGAGCGACTTGGCCCCGGCTGACCTCTGGACAGGCGCTGTGAGGAAGACCCCGATACGACTTGAAGGTGACGTTGGCCGGGTTGATGAGGCTTTTCATCTTCTCCGCTGTCTGGCTGCCAAACATGAAGGGCACCAGGGGGTCGGCGTCCCCGTGGCATTGCAGGACATGCATGTCCTTGTTAACACTGTTGGCAGATGCCTGGGGGAAGAAGAGATTAAGAAGAGATTATCTTGATATGATAGATTAGGATTTACCTCGTGGATATCCCCCTTCACTGTAATTCAGTTAATGGTTAAAGACGTGTGGAAGTTTGAACCTGCATCTTTTCTTGAAGCTTCTGTTTAAGTGGTCACTGAATCATTTGAATTTAAGACAGAAAATTGAAATTGTAATTTATTTCAGACTACCTGAGGGAAGGAATTGCGGAGAGGAAGCCAGCAGCTCAGAGCGACGACTCCAGCCAGCTTCTGCTGAGTAGTCAGAGCCGTGTAGAGAGACAGCGCTCCGCCCTGGGAAACACAAAAACAATCATGACCAAATAATTCAGAGTCGCATATCAACGGAATCAAAAAGCATCGAATTGGCTTCACTGAGAAACAGACTCTGCTGTTATTCATTTTAGTCTATTTTGAATTCAGGTCAGAGATAAAAATAACGCGTTTTTCTTTTCCTCCAAAGTAAGAGGTGTTATTATTATAAGTAATTATCATTATTTCCCCGGCTGCCTTCCAACTCAACTAAAGGTTTGTGTACGAGCCACACGTACCTGTGAAAATCCACCCAGGAGAATTCGGTGTGACGGTATTCCATTTTTCACTTCTTGGTCTATCAGTGCTTTAACTGGAGAAACGAAAAAAGGAAAATAACACTCAAAAGATTCACAAGCTCTTCATGCGATTCACGCAAAATTGGCAGCCCATCTCTAGCATGCGTGAAAATGAAATTCAAAAGGACGTACTGTTCTCGGAGGCTCTTTTAATACCAGCCTCATCTTCATTTGCATCGGGGCTCAAGCCATGGATATCAAACCTTTACACAACGACAAGCAGGCGATAAATATTGTATTTGTTGTATTTGTGATCGTCAAATCGGTTTAAACACAGCGACACTTACCAGGAAGGCATTGACATTCTCATGTTCAACGAAACAGGCATGGTGGGACTGTAGGCAATGAAGACAAGCAAAATCTTAAGACGTTTTACCACTTTGTCCATTACAGTTACAGCTTTCTGACGTGTGAATACTCACGCATGTGGACAGATGTATTTCACATGTGGTAACCTGATGCCTGCGAAACCTTCTGCCCAGCCATGTCTGTCAATATTGGACAAAAATTAAAGCCATTCAAATAAGAGAATAACAAATGTAGCACCAAAGAAGAAGGTCTTCACGTAACTTACCCAGTGTCACCAAGGCCGTGCAGAAATATCACCTGTACGAAAACACACAGGTGAAAGGTCGGTGGAGACATGGCGGTATATCAGCTTTTCGCTTGTTATCGGGTTGCATTTCTTTTTTTGTTTGTTTTAGCTTTAAGCAGCTGTGCGTGAACTCACCGCCGCGGTGGCTTTGCGGGCAGCAGGCACGATGGCAGGTAAAGGCACTGACATGTTGTTACCGCACATACAGCGCCGAGGCAGCTGGTGGGGGACAAAGTTAGCTCCTGTTAGCTAAAAGCCGCGCTGCCGCCTCCTGTCAAACCCGCGGTCGATCTTCGCGTCGAGTCTGGCCGTCAAAGAGCGGAGCGTTAACCGGCGAACGGAGGTCGACGAGCCGCCGCCTGGTTTCGCCTCTGGCGGCCGTGAATTCCTTTGTAGAAGTTGAATTTTTGGGGGGAATAACGCGCCCCAGGATAACGCCGTTCGTCACCTGGAATGACACGGTTTGAAGTCCCGCCCCTCGTCGCTGTGATTGGCTGTCAAAAGAGGTTTTTGACAAATACAGTAGTACAGATTGGTTAGTACACATGTCAATGAACAGTACTTTAATAATGGTTGAATAGCTCGTTTCGACACTTATAAAGTAGAGACAATACCCTTATCCAACAACAAAAACATTTAATTACAAAGTAGTTATTGGATGTATGAACATGCAACGTATTGGATAGTCATCTTTGACAACGATTTTAAAAGACACATGTTTTCATTTGTTTTATTTAAAGATTGAACGTTAGAAAATGTGTCACATTACATTTGCTTTGATCATAACAATACTAGTATTTAATAACAATCACCAATGATGCGTCAAACCTCAATAGTTTACTGTACATTTTGACGGTCGTGCTTTTATTTTGAAGATGGAGGTAAAACGAACGACTTCCGCTCACCTCGGTCACGTGACCTACATGTCCTTGGTTTCGCAGTCTTTGACATGTGAGAGGAGAAAACATGTCTTTTCCCAAAAAAACCGCAAGTAAAGCGCTAGGTATTTTGCAGAATCTCCCCCGGATAAGTTTAGCAAACTTGCGGCCTGAACCGGGAGCCAAAAAGGCGGTAAGTTTTAATGTAGCAACACCAAAGCTGACATAGCTAACGCTAGTTAGCACGCTATGTTAGCCAATGGAGACGAATGCTAATATGGACTGTTGTGTTTATGGCAGGATGCCCTAGCATGTTATTGTAATTGTAGGAGACGCGGCGGGGCAGAGGACAGCATGGCGGCAACAGAAGCGGCCGAGGACACAAGGGAGAGCGACAGAGAGGCACCCGGCCTCGGCTGGGATTTGTAGGGGGTCAGACTCCGTTTTATCTCGCAATCCCTAAATATGGCTACAATGAGGGACACAGGTAAACACAACATGTCAACCTGCCCTCCTCCTTTTAAAACTAACCTTTGTGTTACAACGATTAACACATCACAATCATTGAAAATGCAAAACGGTTGGAAGAAAAAAAAATTCTACCAAAAACACATTGTTTCTATTTCTCCTTTGTTGATGTTGCTTGTTCAATAATTCAGCCAGCTTGGTTTTAGCACAGATGCCTTTTTGTATTGTAAGTTTTCCTAAACAGAGCATCTGATTGTGCTGATCACACATGATTCAACAATAATTAAGCACAGTGGGTCGGTGTGCTCCTCCTCAGTCGACGGCCACAGTACCAGCCTCTGTCGTTGAGGCGACTGCAGTACCTCATCGATCTGGGACGAGTCGACCCGACCCACCCGGTAGACCTGACCCAGCTGGTCAACGCCAGAGGAGTGACCGTCCAGCCTCTGAAGAGGGACTATGGAGTCCAGCTCGTTGATGAGGTATACTGGAGGCACAATGTTGATGTTTAAGAATCCACCGCAGCAATGAAACGGGGGTTTAATAAGTTGTACATTACACGTTGGAGACAAGAACAACATAGCACTCACAAACATACATTATTTTTTATATGTCAGCAGCAGAGTTTATCAAAGCTGTAAAGATCTACCGTAAGGACAATACCTTTTGGCTGACAGTAAAGCATAGATATGGGAAGAGAAATAACTCCAATAGAGAATTAACAGGGTGCAGCCCATCAGGTCACCCTGAGGCTCTTTGCTCTTCTTGTGCCAGTAGGTGGCACCACATCACAATGTTGTCATGCTATCGCAGGTCAAGATGTTGTTTTTCTGCCAGGAGTTCCTCCTTTCATCTGCATTCTCTGTTCAAGGGTGCCGACATTTTTTCTGCAAAAATCAACATCGAGGTTCAGCGAGCTTCCGAAGGAGCCGTAGCTGCTATTGAGAGGAACGGAGGGGTCATCACTACCAGTTTCTATGATCCTATTAGCCTGGGTAACTAATGACCGATCGCTCTCATGCCCCCGCTGACCTTGTAATGTTCATCTAGTCCATCGAAGATAATAAACGCAATCTCTCTTTTTTTCCGCAGGGATTCTCATCAAGCCCGTCCCGTTCTTCTTGCGCGGGCAGCCCATTCCGAAGAGAATGTTACCCGGGGAGGACATGGGTCTGGTATTACACAGATGCTGAAAGCCGGGGTTACTTGGCCGACCCCGAGAAAATCCAGCAGGCCCGGCTGGCCCTGGCACTGAAGTATGGATATACTTTGCCTGACATATCAAAGGATGAACTTTATCACATGCTCTCCATGAGGAAGGATGTTCGACAGATCTTCTTTGGCCTCGCTCCAGGATGGGTCGTTAGCATGCCAGAGAAGAAGATCCTGAAACCAACGGATGAGAAACTGCTGAAATATTACAGGTCATAGGTGTGAGGAAATAAATGTTTATTTACAGTAGCTCATGGCAAAAAATCTAAAAATACAGATGTTGGGATGTTCAAAGCCGTGGACATTTTATATTAAATGTTGGGGGGGGAAGGGTTATTAAACTTTATCCTGAAAACTACATTGAAAGGGTTTTTTTTTGTAGTAATTTTAAGTTGCTGTGCGTTGGAGTGGCTGTCGCCTGACGGCCTCGTGTCAAAGCACAACCGGCCCGTGTGGTACGATGGAAGGAACGTGAACTGTAACAGGTGAGGGGGAAATAAGGAAAATAAGATAACTCAAAGAATGAAAACAGGAAACAGATGCCTGGCGATGTGTGTTACTTGTGAAATGGGTTGCCTAGGCTGTAATAGGGGGGGTTTTAAATTAGTCATAGGCAGCTGTATCCTGGTCTGGACGTTCAAAAGATCCCTCTCCATCCTCTTGGAGCACAATCACAGGCAAACACATACATACAGCTTTGCCCCTGTTATGCCTCAAACATAAAAGTGCATTGAAAAAAAATGTTTATGCTTTGATAAATTAAGGAAACTACTTTGACTTAATCTTGATTTCACTGAGTATAAATTTTATGTTTTTTTTTTGGTTCTGGTTGCTGAGATTTCAAAATGAAAACTAGGGTATCGTGAGGCAGAATCTTATTAAGATTTTGAGATGTTTCAATCAACACTTTCTGGCACTTAACCTCCTGCGTGTACCACAATATACTCTGGGAGCGTTTGGCTGCATGATTGTTCTCTCCGTTACGATAATGTTTATTTTTTTAAAGTGAAAATGGCACACGCTCTATAAATAACTTGGTATTTTACGCAGATATGGTCTTAAGGGACGCTGCCATAGAGTTTATGTTGGTTTAAAAACACTTTATCAAAGGAAGCATATGTTTGTGAGCGTGTGTGTGTGTGTGTGTGTGTGTGTGTGTGTGTGTGTGTGTGTGTGTGTGTGTGTGTGTGTGAGAGACTGCAAGTCCACAAGCATTGTGTTCTTACACAAAGTCCCCTCTGCCCTGTTAGTTACTGGTAGACGGGGTATTTATTATAAGAATACAAATAAAGTATGCACAATACGATGCACCAAACTGAGTTAAATGTAATTCATTAAGTTTGTAAATAATGTAAGAAAAAGGAAGCACTTTAGGCGTGTTTCTTGGCGTGTCAGAGTGTTACCGTAGGAGACAAAGGTTACACTTTGATGACTTTGCTTGTGTTTCCCCCCCGAGTGTTTTTCCTGAATCTCAAGTATCCAATAAACTACACAAGTAGTGGATACGTACACAACCGGCCCTGCCAGGAAAACCAGCCCAAATCCTAACAGCATAATACTTTAAATAAATCTCGCCACAGGAAAGAAACAGCACAATCATTGTTTATGGCAGAACTACAGCGCTTATCTTCAAAGCAGCAGATCCTTTTGAATTTGTATCGAGCCTCAGACGAGCGAAAGAGGGGGAAAAAGAGCGAGCAACAACATGCGAACGTGTGGCTGCAGAGAGTTTGCCCAAAGGGAATGAAGAAATCCAATCAGGGCTTTTCTCTATCAATTACACAGAAAGCAGCTCGGACCCTTTCACTTTATTTGTGGGTCTCTGCTCCAAATAATCTAATGTCTGAGTCTAACCAGTTCACACTATTTAATTAAACATTCAAGCACTGGAGCTGAGCAGACCGGATTGTTTTGGTTATCTGCTGCCGCGAATGAGCCGTTTAAGACAGACACAGATATCACGGTGTCTCACGGTGTCTCACAGGTCTCGGTCTAGTTCCAGTTAATAAATAGGGCTAATTACAGCTAAATGCAGCCGTCTTTCCTCCGTCTGCATGAGCAGAGACGCCGTTGGGCCTGCGTTGGTGTTGAGTCAAGGTCAGATTGCCACGGATGCCGCCTGGGATCTTTGTGTCCACAAACATGGAAGTAAACGCGTGTAACAAACAGCAAAGACACTGACATCAAAAGCTCAGCTGCACAGTAAAATGACTGGAAGACTCATTTCAATTGCTCAGATAAGACGCTTATCAGTACAATGCAATTCCTAATTTACAAAGAAAGGCCCTTTTCTTCCTGCAAGAGTGGAGCTTTGCCTCGTTAGCCGGTCTGAATGATCGACAGATGCAATACGATTAGAGGCCGTTGTGGCTGCAGTGCAAGAGACAGACTGAGGAGTTGATGGAGCTCTTTTTTAATTAATCAGAATTCTGATCCGGTGTTTCGACGGTAAGTCGTTTATCGACTAAGTAATGATAATCATTTTTGAGCTTTTTGATTAAAAAGATTAACATTTTCAATTGTTATCAGAGTCACAGTACAAAACACAACATTTACAAAGATGTGAAACAAATCCTCCCACTGGAAATGGTCAATATTGATCAGTGGTCAATAAACTAATCATTTAAACCCCTAAATGATGGATAAAACCGGCAGTGAAAATGTGCAAATCCTCAGCGCTCCTTCGGCTTTGCACGCTGCACATCCACCAGCTGGTTCGTGTTTGAAGTCTGGCTGAGTCGGGCCGGTTATCTCTGCCCAGAGGTGGGGGCATCATTGTGTTCTGCTAATGAGACTACATTAGGCCTGTCTACACCAGGGGGGGGGTCTTGTAATCCTCTCAGCTGGCCTGACGTGTGGGCCGGGCAGGGCGCTGTTTACACGGGGAGTGTGGAGGCTAGCGCTCAGGACCCCAGCCCTTAGTCCGCTCAAACACGTGATTAAGAGGGGGGGGGGGGCATGGGCACTCACACCATGCACAAAATGGGGTTTTTCGTTCCAACAGTTTATCCCTCCTGGTGGCAGTTTTGTGCCCAAACAATTCAACACAGAGCAAAATAATCCCCATATATATAGATATAGGTATATACGCCCCCCCCCCCCCCTTCACACCTCGCGGCGATGAGACAATGCATCGCTTTAGGAAGGAGCCACTGTAAGGAAAGTCGGTGGGTTGGCACTGAGGACGGCGAGGAATACAGTGCTTCATTACCAGAGGTCAAGACGCAGGCGGGAGGCCTCACTTTTCTTCTGATCATTCTTTGGATGGATTCCTTCAGGTTAGCAAATCCTTCAAATGTCCATCCAGAGGATTTAAGAGTGCGGGAGCCCCTTTTCATTCACAAAAAAGCTAAAGTCCCATGAAAATGTGTTGAGCGAACCATCCTTTTTGTCTACAAATCGCATCCAGACCATGAAGAACTGCAAAATCCAGCCAATATCCAACCCCGAGCACCGCGCAGAGTCAGCAGCTTTGTAAAATCCTGCTCAACTGTCTCCTGGAAGGTCTTCAGCCGCCTGCTTGGCCGCCACTGATCCAAAGTGAAGACGGGGAGGAGTGTCCCATATATAAGTTCTGTCCAATACAATGACACATTGTGATCAGAAAGACACTGAGAACAATCCCTATTCACAAAGCATTGAGTCCATTCTGCTTGTTTGGCTCTGAGACAATGCAATGATACCCTGCTGTCACCTTATAGATTAGGCTTCATCAACAGGGACAGAATGGAGGAAGAGGGACTGGTTTTCGGTTTTCCCTGAATAGGGGGAACCACGGATGAGCGGATGACTGAGTTTCCAACAGGCTTTCTTGCCATTAAATGAAAATTTAATAAGTTTCCAAAACGTGCAATACTGAAGATGTTACGCATTTGAGGAGGAAAGGAGGTTTCATCACATTCCAATGAAGAGCAACATTCCCTCTGACACAAATCCTCTTTTTGTAACATTTGATTGATTGGAACGTTTCATAGAAAACATTCAACTTATTTAACTGGTGTCACAATAGATTAACCGGGATTAGTTATGAGTGGGTCCACGGCTGAACTTAGTGTATTAGGGTGTTTGTTGGGGCCTTTTGAGGTTGATTGACGGTGATGTGAACGTTGTGACGTCACATCAATCAGAATGTGCAATTTTGATTACCCGCATTTAGTTTTAAAAACAAGTTATCTTTAAGTCCTCAGGCAACAGAATGTGCTCCGTTGTTTATGCGTCAACACCTAATTGATTGAACCGGCTGATGTTATTTAAACGTCCTGGTTAAGTCGCTTTGAATCCACATGTCAACCAGAAACGTTGCTGGATTTCAGCCGACTGGATTCCCACAGAAGCTCAGCCGAAACTCGCGTTATTGTATTCACGCTGAGTCGTTCAAGCTAATTGATTAAATCCATTAGTGCTTTTCACAGCGAGTTGGAGCGTGCGTCCCGTTCGACCCCGCGGATGTGGATTCAACCCCTGACTCTGACTGTGGGGAAAACGAGCGCCCCCTCTCTAACTCCGCCCCCCTCCCACACAGCCATTCACCACACACTTGGTTCGTTCAAATTCATAATTCTGTTTAAATGTACTTTTAAATATCGTGTGTTGATTTTCTGTGGTTTCTTATCGTATAATCTTCCTCTTGATCACTTTAAATGAAATGGTTTAAGTCCAGTTGTCAAAGGGAGATGAGCAGCACAGATGTCTTTTATCACTTCTGTTGTTGAATTCTGCTGATCATGTCTATTGATTAAGATATTATCCGGCCTGATTCAATGCTTAAAATCTAAGTCCAATATCTTACTCCTAAACGGAAAATTCCCACCGTTTTAAAGCTTGCACATTCTGTGTCATCATTTAACAGGAGAATATAAAGCGTAGACGTGGATGTTATTTTTCGTTCAACCAATAACCAGTCCTTCTTTTCCTTGTGTATTAACTGTGCACTGAACCATAATACACAGTATTTACCATTTAAAGTGCCCGCATGAAGTGACTCGTCTGCAGGGACAAAGCGGTGCAGGTGCTCCATCACCGTGGGACCGTGTATTGCAGATTCCACGTCGCTGCTGTCACAGTAATGGAGACTATTGTGTGTCTAATGTCAGTCCCCGCGTCCCGAAGACACATATTCATTGAAACCACGCGGAGGAGGTGAGCACCTGTAACGGCATCCTTTTATATTAAATCACAGGATCACACGCCTTTCCAGAGAGAACATCAATGGGGAATACACATCATTATCATTATTATTTGAGTGTTTATAGTGCTTAATTTATTCTGATATTTTGCACTTCGTGGCATTCTTTTAAAATGTTCCAAGATCTAAATCGACGGTATCAATAATTCCCAACATGTATCCGTATTAAAAGTGATTACTTGCTTTCATTTTTGCTATGCATATGATCATTTGGGATTCTTTTTCATTTTCAAACTGCTATTGTATTTCTATACATCCTACATATTGCGACAAAGTGAGAAAATATTCTCTGCAGGTTTACAGGTGGCCAGTTTCTGTGAGTCTGAACCTCTGCTGGAGGTTTGACTGATTTCAATACTCTGCTCACTTTATTTCATTAGGTTTTCCCCATTTTCCATCCACGTTATTAAATGTCAGAGACCAAACGCATCTGATGTCCTACGTGAGCGCATCACCCCCCTTTGTACACACTTATCAGTTTTTTTTGTGTCGAGCAAACATTTGCCAGCGGTAATCGTGTAATAAACACTCCTTGATCATGTTTGTTTCATTCCTGTAAAATGTGCTTTGAGAGAGACAGTGGATGGCCGATAAGAGCTGAGAGCCACGATGTAATTAGTAACCAGCTCGGCCTCCTGGACACTTTGATGTGCACCTATCAATACTCTGCGGCCTTTCAGGGCCCATTGATTGCATTCCATTCATCTCCGATAGGCGAAGGTGTCATTTGATTTTCTCTAATATGGATCCAATAAGTGAATCAAGGAACTGGTCTATTTGACTCGAGTTAAAACATGCATATGCACAGATGTGTGAGCAGTTAAACATACACGCAAATGCCGTGTTTTACAGACTAATAAAACGCATTTAACTCAGAAAAAAGGGAAACAATGTCTCTGTTTTTTGTTTTGTTTTTGCTCTTTTAGATGAATCCCGCATCCCTTGTTGTTTTTGTTGCGGACTTTTCCATCTTAAGTTTCGTGTGCTGGTTGATTGGGGCGTCGGATGGGCCTATCGCCGACCCGACAGAAAATCACCTGGAATTCACACCTTAAATCCACTCCTCCACGCCTCCCATTGGTGGAGCCCCCGCATATATCCGTCACGGTGCACCGCCAGCACGATGACAGCGGCCTGCGGCGGAGTCACAAGCCTCATCGCCATCGGTAAACATGCATTTCGGCCGCGACCCCGCTGCTGCCTTCCAGCTCTGCGCGAACAACGCCGCGTTCGCGGCCGAAGCGTCGGCCCCCGCGGACGCGGAGCGGACGGCCGAGGTGCGCTCCCCGAGCTCGGGGCCGTCCAGCCCGCTGTCGGTGAACTCGGACTCGAGCTGCGCCAGCCCCGAGGCCAAGTCCGTGTCGGCGCAGCAGAGAGTCAGGAGGCCCCTGAACGCCTTCATCATCTGGACCAAAGAGGAGCGCAGGCGGCTGGCGCAGCTCAACCCAGACCTGGAGAACACGGACCTGAGCAAAATACTTGGTAAGAAATCCATTAACAGCTTGACAATTTAATTGTAATACCATTTAATGGAAATATTAAAGTGTTCCTTCACGTGTAACGCCATTTAAATTTCACATTCAAGCAGTTTTGATTAAAAAAAAAAATGCACATCTTTAACCCCAATGTGTTTTCCTGCAGGAAAAACATGGAAGGCCATGTCTCTGGTTGAGAAGCGTCCATACATGCAGGAAGCGGAGCGTCTGAGAGTCCAGCACACCATCGACTACCCCAACTACAAGTACCGGCCCCGCAGGAGGAGGCAGCTGAAGAAGACCTCCAAGCCTCAGGCCGCAGAGGCTCCCCGCGCCTCGCTCTGCGGCCCCGGATACCCGGTGCCTTTCAACCTCGCCTACCTGCTCCAGAACCAGCAGCAGTGCTACCCAAGCAGCGCAGCTTTTGCAAACTCCCCAGCCAGCTTCACCCCCTCGCACGGCTTCCAAAACAGTTCAGATTTTCTAGACACAACTGCAGCAGCAGCAGCAGCAGCAGCGGCGGACGTGTCATCGAACGCGCCCGCGGGGTACCCGAACCCCCCCGCGTACCCCGCACAGCCCCAGCCGTATTACGGCGGTCAGCGAGGACAAACGCAGCAGGGCTTCTGCAGGCCCGCGGGGCCCCAGGCGGACCAGGGGGAGTCCAGCGGGGTTTACGGGGGCCCGCAGGGACCGGCCGGGCCCTCCTTTGAGTTTTACCTGGCACAGGTTCAGCTGGACATGCTGTACGATCTGGACCGCAGCGAGTTTGAACAGTACCTGGGCCCCGGTCCCCACAGGCCCGAGTCGGTGGACCCCGGCTGCTACCAGAGCGGCCACAGAGAGGGACGCGCCGTCTCGTGAAAGTACTAAACGTGGTGTATTTATTTATTTTATGTCAGCTCGTCATCTGACAGTGACTGCTGAAGGTGTACATGGTGCGTTGTTAAATGACTATACTGTACTGTCTTCCAATGGGATTATAATAAATAAATAACAGTTAAACACAAAATGTACTTGTCTTTATCACTATTTCTGAAAATAAGACAAAGGTCAACTGAGTGAAACACTATATACATTGTAGTTGTGTATAAAAGGCAACTGCAATGTTTGTTTCACTTTCCATAAAGTTTAGACAAAGTTAAAGGGATCAATGATGCAAAAACACACTGGATATTTTTGATGCATTATTACTTTTCAGGTAAACGTTTGTCCCATCGTGACATCATCATTTATCTCGGCATTTGTTTATTTTTGTGACACTGACATCGTCAATTCTCAACCGGATGTTTATTATCTATTTGGCCAATAAAAATACTCACATATTTTAGGTAACGTAAACCCTTAAAAAAACCTGCATTTATAAACATAACATAAACACGTATAGCAATGTTTTTAATCATTAGTAGCATTTCTTAATTATTATAGCAAGAAGTTAAAATTGTTGACAATAATACATAATCAGCACTTTCAAAATGACCTCATATACCTGCTTACAACTACATCAATGTGTTATAAACCATTTATAACTGCTTATAAACCGATGATTAATTACATAAGGGGGGAATTAGGATAATTTGTTAGATACATCTTCACACGAAGGTCACTAGTTCAAACACATTTTATAGTGGTTATGTTGAACCTCACTGAAGTTTATTTTGAAAAGAAACATTGACACAGCACACCGACGCTGGAGGTTACGTAATTGTAAAAAAGAGTTTCCCTTTAAGAGGACTGCAAACGACTTTAAATATCTCAGATTGAACAATGCCGCGGCTATACTACCCTCCCATTGGCAGAAGCCAAACTGTTGACACACAGTTTTATCTCCATCCTCACGTCTTTCTTGGCTCACAGGGGGAAGCAGGGTGGGCGCCACGGGCATAAACTTCCCAACTTCCTGTTTCATTTTAAAACATCTCACAAAGGCTCTAAAAATATGCCCCAAAATCCACATATCTCCAAACTCGCTTGACTCTGGCTGCCGAATGTTTACTCATTTAGGAAAATGTTTACTTCCCGCGTTTTTCTGTGTCACAGCATCGAGGTCGCACTCGCAGATGTGAGATCCAGGTCGTCCAACGTGTCAGGTGATGCAACGAAAGCTCTTTATGCTCCTGCACAGCAAATACATATGCATTTGCATTTACACTCAATAAAAAAGTGACCGTTTTCCAATTCGATTTACAGCAAATGTACACATGTTGCAATTTGCAATTTGTTTCAAACAAAGGAACTTGATTTTATTTACATTTTTATTACTGGACTCAAGCAGTGATTAAAACCCAAACTTATATACAACATAAATATGACACATTGATTTAAGATAATTGAATGACCAAAGTCCTGCAGATTAACCATCTGTTGTTTTCACAGTCCTTAGGAGGTAGATTCCAGATAAACATATGATGTATGAATAAGACGTCCAGCCTCAGAAATGATGATGGAAATCCGATTCGCTGGGAGGAAACGCTCGGCGGAGGGAAGGATGACCTTAGGAGAGAGCAGAAGAGCTAATTAGGAAAGAAAAGACCTTCTGCAATCCAGCGCCACCTGAATGAGCGGAAGAAATCTGACGTCAGCTCAATTCCCCAGACGCTACTACAAGACACACTTTAATGTGGAATGCAGAAACGTGCCGTGATGCAAAAGGCAATAAGGTGGAATCCGCCCGATAATCCTCAAATACCACAAGCTTCATGTGCTGCCAGTCCTTGTTTTCCCTCTTTTGAGTGACTTGAACTCAAAGCTGTCGGTTCAACTCGTTGTTTTTCTCAAAGGTCGGCCCCTCGGCAACAATTAATGACCAGTCGCAGGAACTTCCTGAAGGAAAAACAACGGAATGATATCAGTGTTTCAGGTGAAAACATCATCAACAATAAACAGCAATGGAAAAGGCAGCTGGACAAATCAGATATCTCCGTCAAATATCTACAAGGCCTTGTTCTTTTACTGGCTTCTGGTTTGTTAAATGAAAAGTGAATTTGGAAGTTGTGATTTAATCAGTGACGTTAAACCCATTGAAATACATCAAGATCTTGTTTTGTAACGGTCTTTCTTTCAGCGTTGATAGTGGGTTCCTTCTCTCAAAATGTCCTTTGTCATTTATACGAGCGAACCCACATGTTCGCAGGTCGTTCCCCAGCTGTTGCGAGGGAAATGAGTGCAACAAAACTATAAATCGTTCAGGAATGGAACCAGAAATGTGCCGGAAAGCTCATGTTATCACCTGGGAGGAATGTGAGGAATCTCAACGTGTCAAACATACCGTAATTCACATTCCTCAACTCTAAAATACCTCATTAGATATTAAATATCTAAATATGCCACTTGTGTTTGTTCAATATCAACAGACTAAATAGCTGGAGTTTATATTAAACCTAAGAATAGATCCGAGTCTCCTTCACCGGTTACGTTTGTGATATTTTTTGAGACATCGTTACGTTCTTCATCAATAATTTAGTTTGGGTAAATACGAGGCTGCAGTCTGCAGATGATGCTCATCCTGTAGGGACGTGTGAGGAAACTCAAACAGGAAGTGAGAAACTCAAAATCTTCTTGTCCTAAAGGAATACTAAGAGGAGGTTTTTGTTTACAACTGCAAAATGTAATTCCATTCTCATCACTTCATTAGTCGGCTCCAGTCGTGCACTAATTGGGCCGATCGGATTACTATAACTTCGTCAGGCCTCTGCCTCGGATCAGCAGCCTTTCACCTGCGTGTCTGACAGGTTTGCATCGTGCATTAAATTCGGACGTGTGCAGACTGCAGCTCAGCGGGGTCATAGGGTCACTTCACTCAAATTCTTACATCCTTTCCTTTTAACTCGCGACGTATCGATCCACTGAGGTAGTTCTAGTTTTATTTCCCTAAATTTTGAGAAACATTTTTCAAAAATCCCTGCTTATAAACGTACTTATAAAAGTACTTTGTCAGGAAGAATGTTAGTGTTCAATATTATAACATATATTCTAATATTTGAATGTTGTATTATGAAGGAAATGTTGTTATTAATCTCAACTGGACTCAGGAAACTCTGAGATTGATCATTTATAATCAAATAAAACCAACGCTATCTAAATATTAAAATAAAGGATTTAAGTGCTGCAAAATTCATTAAAAGGATCAAAAAAGTATTTTGCTACTTTAAAATGATGGAATTACTATCACTATTATTATTATTATTTTCTGTGTTCATGTATAGTTCAAATAGTGAGCTCAAAGATGAAAAAGTGGAAATTTTGAACAAATCCTTTAGATAATACCACATGAATTATATTTACAGACATGATAAGGACGAGGCTTCGTTCGCGGCCTGCAGAGATAGAAACGTCTTTGTGGTTTTCATGAGCCGAGGAGACGGACGGACGATGGGCGTGAGGTCGGACGGAGCAGCAGGGCGTGTCCCCGTGACCTGCTGGGCCGACACAATACTCACTATCAGCGTCCCTCACACAGGACGAACGGCTGTCAACAAAGATCAACACAAACACAATCCTCAAACTGTTTGTGTCTGGAATGTTTGTTTTTTTATATTTCTCTCTGATTGCCTGATGCTGTAGTTCTGCTTTAAATCCGCTCCGACAACAACAACAACAACAACAACATAAAAGAGGTTTGCTGTTGGGAGTAATACCGGGCAGACTTTTAGGATGTGGCAAAAGACGTCAACCCGTCTGCCTGAGCGTTCCTCTGGGGAACACGGAGGCAGTCCGGGGAGTTTATGCACACGTTCACCCCCAGAGTTTGCACCGGGCTCGGGGGTGTATAGGTCTGTCTGGGATTTCGGCGGGGTCTCTGCGTATCTGTGTGTCTGTCCGGGAGTCTGTGTGTGTGTGTGTGCGTGTGTGTGTGTGTGTGTGTGCGTGCGTGTGCCAGAGTGAGCGTCATTGTTTTCGAGCACTGATTAAATAATCATTGCAGATACAGAGTTGAGACGCACCCATCAACACTGTTTCAGCTCAGGTGATTGTTTCCTGATTAAAAAAAAGGCCATTTTCTGGTTATTTGACACGCTTTTTACTGGATAACAAAACAGGAACAGTAACCAGGAATGAAACCTTTGCATTTCCTTCATAGCGAGCTACTGTCGCTCAGTTGAAAGCTGCTTTGCCTGTCAAGCTCTGTGCTCATGCACAGGAACACATCAGGTTTTAATTTAAGAATTTAATACTTAAAGATCAATAAAAGACAAAAACAAAGACTTGCCATTGTTTTTTTTTATATCCTGAACCTTAGATGATACCAACCGTCTATAAGAAATGCATCTCACCCATTGGCTCATGGACTGCAGTTTGATGACTTGAGGGCCGCGGCCATTTAGTTTTGTTTGGAACCAGAAGAGACACGAGCACAACCAAACATTTTTACTTTATTATTCCTGCAGCTAAATGAGTTAACCTCCGCTGGAAAAAACTCTGTTTGCCTTTGTCACAAATCACAGTTAACTAATAATGCAGCTATATTTAAATTAACATATAATGTGGGCATGTGCATGTTTTATAGCTACAAAGCATTTCCATACAATGACAACACCTGTGGCCCTGAGGTGGAATCCCTCCCCTCAGCCCCGTCAGTGGGCACCTGTTAGTTTGTGTTGACGTGGCGTCTTTAACGCCTCTGCTGATTGACTTAGCAAGTAAAATCCCGAGAGCTCAGCGAGGCCTCCCAGCAGGCGACGCACTGTGTGCATACGGCAGCGGGCCGGTAGCACCTGAGGGCAGCGCATTGTGTGCTAAGCTGCCGCTGTGAAATCACTCTGGTTGGGAAAAGCTCAACATCTGGTCGCCGTGGTCAGACGACCTCACCACCAAGATTCACCGGAGAGGTCACGAGGCGGTTTTCATGAAGGGAAAGCAGAAATTTACCCGGAATAAACTGCATTCTAAAACGGATCAAAATAAGGAAAACGCGTAATTGCCAGTAGATGATGAACGCCATACAATTCTCTAAGTAATTCATTTACAATCAACTGTATTCTAATTCAAACTCCCACAAAGACTTAACCCACC